CTGGAGGTGGTACTAGCTCTTCCCATCTGTTGTCTAATTTAGTGGTTAAGGTACTTACCCAGAAAGTGGGTTGAACCTCAGGAGTTTTGAACCCACATCCCCTTATGCAGGAGAATATCCTGAGTGCTAGGCAGGACTGAGAACATTCTCCATCTCTCCTCCTATAGGTGGGCCACTGAGCAGCCAAACATAAAAATTCGTACTGCCAGAAGGAGAGCAAACCGAAGGAATCTTACCAAGTGAAATGAGTTTTGGCCCCTGCTGTTTATCCATTTTATCTAATTGCTTAAGCAAAAGGCTTAAAAAAAAAGCATTGGGAGCAGAGAGCAGGGGACCTGAGGGCTAAATTTGAGTTCTTCCACTTCTGTGGTTAAGTGCCACCAAGCTATTCAGCAAAATGCAGGCAACACCAATTCCCTTTTTCCAGTAACTCTTAATATTTCTCTGTTAAGGACATAGAGACTTTCTCAGACTGAGTTGGATCACCACAGAAGTTAGAGAGGTAAATGCTTATGAAGTTGTTCTGGACCACTTCTGAGCAAGAGCAGTAGTCTAAGTCTAATTACCTTATGAACTTTCTCAGGCCAAATTGAAGGTGGCCTAAGGAATCTAGGAATCCTAGGAGTTTTGTGGCTGCTAAGTAGCATGCAAGAGAATCATGTGTAGTGACTTAGCTGACTGCAAGTAACATGCGTGCCTCTTAGGCCACTGACAGATATTCAATTAACGGTGCAATGGGATCTAATCCACAATCCCAACAATCATGCCACCTGTAAACACACCCGCTGTGTACCATTTTTCTAAACTCCAAGCTGCTGGTGATATTTATAGGAGCTATAGAAGCATAAGTTATGTTTCTTCCCACTTACTTGGTATATCTACACAAGATGCTGACTGCGTAGTTGCTGAAAAATTCTGTGCCGTATTGCGTCACAGCAAAGATGGTGCTAATATGCTACAGTGCAGTATTATTAGGCTACTGTGCAGTAGTGTCACCTAAAAGACATTTGCTGGCTTGACTGCGCAGTAACTCCAGTTACACAGTACAGTTACTCCAGTTACTGCAGTTACTCCAGTTACAGTAGCATCTCATGTAGATGTGCCCACTGTGTCCCAAACAAAGCATAGATGGAGGCTTGTGAAACTAATACTGATTAAAATTTCCCATTAACATTTTTTTTTAAATCAAAAATGGAATTAAAAAAAAATGTTTTCTTTATTTCTCATGGAAATCAGAAAAAAAACCAAACCATTTTCTCCCTCTCGTTTTCATCACTCTACCCATTGGAAAGTGAGAGAAGGGTTGAATGAAAATAGAAAACACTAACACATAAGTATGTTGTTTCTTTGTTTCCTCATCAAACTTTTTCACAAGAAATTTTGGAAAAAATAATATTTTTTCAACATTTCATGCAAAAAGCCATGGCATTTTTATCAATGTTATTTGCAAGCCAGCTGGCTCTCTGACTACTTTTGACCACTTGAAATCAATCATGATAATGGAAGGCTGGGAGCAGGCATCACCCAATTCACACTTTTCACTAACTCTATTACTAAACCTATTGTAAGCATAATCCTTCCCCCTTTTCTCTTTTTCCCAGTTCTTATCTGCATTGCTTTCTTTTCCTTCTGTTGTTGCAACATGAATGATGGTGTTCAAGTTCTTCCCCGTTTCTCTAAGGGTCTTGTTAAATATTACGCTGTGAGCTGTACAAATGTTGATGGGTGTTATTACTAGCTCAAGTTTGAAGCAGTCACTCTTCAGGACAGCAGGGGCCTGGAGGACTGACTGGTAAGAATCCCTCCTACTCCCATTCCAGGCTTTCCCCCTGCTCCCAGGGCTCCCCCAGTTCTCTCTCACCCCTGGTGCTCCCTTCCTATCCTTTGGGGCTCCTCCCTGCTCCCCACACCTATGGTTCCTCTTTCCTTCCCATATGCTTACTTGTGGCTGCACACATTGTTTGTCCCAGGGAAACAGGCAAGGAAGGGTTAATCCGTCTATGTGGCTACAGGGACAGGGAGTTCAGGCAGCCACAAGCATGGGGCAGAGGAGCAGCGAGCAGGGATTTGGGTGCTGGGGGAGAACAGTGGCCTAGTCCAGGCCAATGGGAGAGATGGGGTGAGTGGGTTGTTTACACTAAGGTGTAGGCTAGAGTGGCTACACCTAGTGTAGCACAAACTGGGTATGGGTAGCACAAATTAGAGACAATCTTGCCCTGGTGTAACTGATATAACTTTGTAACTTTGAGCTGCATATTGAGTGCTTAAAACTAGTCTCAGGTGTTAATGTGTGGACAATCCAAGTGCTAAGAGGTCCAGGCACTGCCCAAAACAACTGTCACAAGGCCCTAAATTCAATCCTTTCCCCCCATTTTTTGTCAGAACTGATCTTTCTTTGCCACTGCATTTTTATGTCCACTTTAATGTCCCTCAGTCTCTTTTTCTCTGTGTGTTTTGTTTCCTGCAGTCTGTTTCAGTGTCCTTTTTCGTGACACCAGTGTTTCCCTTTCTGTGGGTTTCTCTTTCCTTCTAGGCCTTCCTCTTCTTGGTCTTCCTTTTTTTACTACGTACATCAGTGGCAGTGAAACCAAGCATATTCTCCCTTCATGATGCAAATGCTGTCCCATAGAGTTATGGATTTGAAATATGTGTAAGACCATGTCTTCCCTAAAAGTCCATTCATCCATTCATGGTATTTGGACTAGTTTCACCTGAACTGTCACAGCATGTCTATCACATGTCCATCACTTCTGCATGCTTTTTTCTGTGTGTGTGTCCACCCAGGAAAAAATTGTTATTGATTAAAGTGAATAACAAGGTGAGCCTGTACTATTATTTACTTGTCATTGGTTTGGAAGAGAAAACAAAGACAGAGAAAGCATTATATATGAGGAGAACAACTGGGAAAATATGTAAGTACACACCATCTCCTTCACCTCCATGTAATTGCCCTTTTCTCTGTTCTTTGGGTAAAAAACTAGCACCAGTGAAGTTGGCAGGAATTTCGTCCTTGAGTTCAGGGGAGCCAGAATTTCATTCCTTGTGTCTTCCCTTTACTTATTGCAGATATTTACAATCGGGCAATTGTATATCCGACCATATCACAATCTTTAAGGCATTTATTCTTGTCCTAAATCCTGGATCATGCTTTACCTCTCTTGTGGTGCATCTACACGTGTACTTTACTGTGGAGCTGGCTAATCAGCTCTGCAGTAAAGCATCACTGTCTACATATGTGCCTTTATTAGATCACAGTAAATTAACTCTGTTGTAGGATAGTACTGTCCAGAACAAAGTACTATCCCACAACCGTCATTTAGTACGCCAAAACACATGTGTGAACAGTGACCTGGACTAGCAGAGGCATGAGGGTGCTACAGTACAGGGGCTGCCTGCCAGCTAGGCCCACAGTGTAGCACACTTGTGCCCCAGCCAGCTACTCTGCAGCATTGTAAACCTGGGCAGAGCAGCCTAAACTGGCTGCCCCACTCCAGCTCAGTGTGCTGTGGCCCTGGCTGAACTGCACTGGAATGTATTGCTATGTGCTAAATGCACGTGTAGATGAACCCTGTGTGTCTCTTTCCAGCCTCCTTATACTCCCTCCCCTTTCCTTATATTCTGTATACTACAATTCTGTGCTGAAAGGAAATAAAGTACTTGTCTTATCCATCCTAATAGACAGTAAAAGAAGAAAAATATTGCTATTTGCATCCAGTCAGTTCCTTCCCATTGAAGAGGTCTCCCCTGTAATGTGAAATTCTCAAATAATTCTGTAAGGACAAACCTATGATAGTAAAAACTTTATAGTTCATTATTTCATATTCTTTATATACTGCATTATGTCTCTACATACAGGTATCACTGACACACTGTAATCAAACATACAGCCACAATACAGCATATAAAGAATATAGATTCTGCCACCTCTATCTTGAATTGCTATTTGATGCATCACAGTCATGTTTTTATGCTTACATTTTATAACTGTGCGATGATTTTATCTTGCTAATCAAACCACCTATCATGAACCAGCATGGTGACAAGATAACACACCATAATTATTCTGTAAGCTGTATCCAGACCATATAAGAGGGAAGGGTATGTCTACAGTGCCTTCCTGCTAAGTGAGGCACCACAGTCAAGGATCAAACCCTAACCACTCTGACCTGCTCAGCTTGTGACCAGCTTCAGCACTTAAGCAGAGCAGATGACATGGCATGCCCCAGTGCAACAGAGAAGCTGAGAGTGAAGCTGGAACATATACTTAGAACTTATCTTAACCTTCTCTTTGCATCTAATTGCGGGACTCCATTATGTGCTGAGAGGGTTCAAATGGATAGCGTTTGATTTTCAATAGCAGTCCTGGGCTTCGCAGAAAGACAGGACAGACATACCTTAAGGACTGGGGACAGAAATTACATAAACCAATATATGTGATTGGAAACAGGTTCAAATCTGTAACACAGCAGAAGTTCAGTGAACATAAACCACTTTCAAAATGGCCAAAACCAGTTTAAGATAAACCTGGATGGATGTAGCATCAGACTTAAATGATTTAGGTTAAGTTAGTTCATTGAATTAATGTCCCAGATCCCCTCCAGATTAGAGTTAACTCAGTCTCCAGGGATGCTTTGTACCTCCCCTGAAATCCCCCTTCACAGGGGGCGGGGGGTGGCTAGCTTTGGCCCAAGCTGTCTGCTCTGGCAGAGCAGGGAGCCAGAGAGGCATACTCTAGCATTCCCTGGATTCTGACCTGAGCCACTGCAGGCATGTGGCTGCATTTCCAGAATCAAAAGTGAATGTCTGTTCACTTTCTTATTGGTTCAATCTATGCAGTTTAGACTAACCTGCAAAGATTAAATTGATTCAGCCTCCATTTTTTTGATTGTCTGTACTTAGCCAAGATATTTTTTTCCAGCTCAGGAAACCTGAGAGACTGTCCTTTTATCTACCCTACTGTCTTTCTGTATAGATAACAAACAGGATGATTTATTCCTTACCCCTATTGTTCCAAAACTTTCAGGTTTCCTCCGGATCTTTTTCTTGCACAAGTGTCTCCACAGCCATTTAGTCAAATACCAGAGAGACTTTGGGCTTGGTATGACATTGAAAGGAGTGGGTAGAGTTCCTCCTTCTTCAAAGTAACTCATCCAAAGCTTTGTACGAGCAAATTTCCACTCAATGTCTGCATGATCCTGTACAGAAAAATATGACAACAACTGACAACCTGCTAAATTAACAAGATAAAAACATCCTCCTCCAAGGGGTTCCTAACCTAAACCCAAACATATCTTGAAAAACGAATTAAATTACTTGTAGAAAATCAGCCAACTTTTTTTATGATATAAAGTTTTCAGTACAGAACTTTACTTTTTCTATCCTGGTAAACAAATTCTTTGAATATTGTGTCACCTTTATTTTTTCTTCCATTGGTATATAGTTTTAAAATGATTAAACATGGATCAGGCAGCAGAAGATAATAAAAAATCACTGTATTATCATTTGAACATGTTCTGCAGAGGGTACTTCCCTGGCTTTGCAGTCTGCTGGGTTCTGGCATCAGAGAAATGGAGTCTAAGTAAATCCCATTTGTGGGGGGTTCAGTGATTGCCACCTTGAGAAATCATAAGACAGAGTTCCTCAAGAGAAACTGGCTTGAAAAGAATCCGTTATTATTTTTAAATGTCATTTTAAATGTACCCTGGCCATATTTCTAAATATGCCCCATTTAAAAAATTTCAAATTTATTTTTTAAATTATGAATACTGTTAATGTTGAAAATAATTTTGTCTGATATATGTCTCTATATACCTAGACTGGAGGGAGAGACCCAGCTCTACTCAAGGTTCAGAACTTGAACTCTTTTATGGAGTGAAGCTATCAGCCATTTTCCTTAGAAAACAGAGCCACAAATAGGAACCCCCACACCCAATATTACAGTGGTTATGAAACTCCCTTGGGGTGTGAATCTCCTCTCTGCCTGATTTGGACAGCTCTCCCAAAAGATCTTCCTAACCCCTGGATTAGGAGATGAACATTTCTTAATCCCCCTGGGGACTGTTGCACTTTGTATAAATAACAGGTGGTATCACTGGGCACTTTTACACAATGTCTGGGGGTGGGAGAAGGCAGCACATTAATTAGAATGGTTCTACAAGCCTTTCTAATTTCATAGATTTCATAGATACCCAAGCTGATCATACCTCTGCTGCAGTACAGATAAGCATTGATTCTCTTTGTTAATCTGAGGATCTAGTGACAAACACTTCTATTTTTTTCCCCTGAATTCTAATTTGTGAAAATTTGAAAATGTTTGGACACCTCTAATTATTACTGATCCTGTCCAGGGATCAATAATTTAATCTCACTCATAGATTGTTAATAAAAAGTAAACCCAAAGCTCTTGTGCAGCCAAAGAAAGAATTTTCATTAAGTGAGAAAACATGAATAATGAAAGAAAATCTATAGCTCTCTACTTCATCTTGTTGATGGGTCATCACATCCAACTCTCTTGCACCTTTGCATGCACTGTTAGCAGGAGAATTTGTGGAATTCATACATGAAAAGTTCTCCAAACATGTGAACACATGCTGTTTTCAAGAACTCTGTTCTCTACTATAAGGAATTAGGACGTGTCTGGATTAAAAAATAAGCAGGAGGTGGAGGAGGAATTATTTTTATGACTTACAAGAGCACTAGAAAGTTGAAGCAATTTCCTTGTGGAGTGAGTGGGTGTTTCCTTCACAAAAGAAAGAAGGCAGAAGGTAGGCCTGAGTAGCACCTTGAAGACTAACTGTTTCAGAAAAGTATGAGAAGCAACCTACTTCATCAGATGCTAAAGAAAGAAGGGAATTTTTGCAACTATATTTATATGCTTATGTAAATTACAGAGATTTTTTTTTAATTGGCTAAAAATAACTGAACACCCAGGCCACATTGATTTTATCCTTTATGCTCTACAAGAATTGCTGTACCTAGCACTAAACATTGATTGGGCTTGCTGTCTGGGAAATCATAGGCTTTTAACGGTTAGTCAATCTGAAACATGAATGAAAAAAACCAGACATAGAACAGCTTCTTTTAGATCTGTGTTTCTCAGGGCAGATCTTAGAATAGTCAGGGGAGTGTTGACATCCATATATGTGGACAACATCCCTGATACACCTTCTATACCCACTACAGAATTTGCACCTCAGGGCTAGTTCTTCACTGTTCAAAATTCGGAGAAAATTATTTTGTGGCCAAATCAGTTGTTTCCCAGTCTGTTTGTCCTTCAAGGTAGTGCGATGGAACATGTGAAAGAATCTGTGTATATATTCTATATTTAAATGGAATTTATTGCCAGAAAAACAGGATGTGAGAATGGAGAGAAAATGCTTATTGCAAATGATTAAACAATGAGAAATATAACTTACGGCAATGAGCTGATAAGAATTATTCATCATGGCTATCAGCATGTTGAGCAGAACAACCAGAGAGATGACATTATAGGTTCCAAACATAGTGGCCCCAACAAATTCAGTAAATTCATGCTGTGCTTTCACATTGGTCACATAGAGGTTAATGAGTCCAAATATAGACCAGAAGAGTGATTGCAATGTTTCAAATAATCTGAAAAACAAATAAAAAAGTATTGCCTGATAACAGCAAATATACACACTCCTAAATCTTTCCCCAAATACACAGCCAAAGGCCTCTGTGACTGTGGAGGACAGGATTTTGCCCAGTACAGAGACAAATACATAACTTTTTAATTTTAGTCATAGAGGAAACTATGACTAAGGGCATCGTCACATGTTACTTTTAGGTTACACAGAGAGCTCTTAACAGTTGTTTATCTACACGTTAAAATGGGAAGACTATTTTTAAGCACCCTTTAATCATTTTAAAATTATGTCATTCCAGGGTGGATTTATCTGTGATCTGTGTTACTCAGCTTATGTTACAGTAACATGTGGCACTTCACAGAGATAAGGTGACCAAATATCCATCCTCCAGCATCCCAGGAAGCAGTTTCCTTTCCCTAAGCCCTCCTGTTCTGTGTGGCTACACTTTCTACCCCTGGAATAACTCCCCGCCTCCCCCAGGAGTGTAACCAGAATAAGCAGCCTATGGAGCACACAGTGCCAACTAGCCAGTTAGCAGCCACTTCACTACCTCCAACCTAACCACCTTCAGCAAAGAAAGGATGAGTCAAAGGCTGTTGCCTTGGACCCCATCTAGTGGCAACTCACAGTTGTGGCCCTAGTCACACACTAGTGGTAAATCACAGTTGCCATTAGACTTCATTGTACATCCATCTAATTGTAGCTACTTGTCTTTACAGAAGGTCTGCAGAAAGGAGATCAATGTTCCTTCCACACATACTTTTTTGAGATTTTCCACAAATGGCTAGTCATATAGGGCTTTGACACAAGAATTATAGCAAAATGCCATAACTACTGTATATTAGTAAAGGTGTTAGAATACAATGACTTAGGTAAGGTTTTAAATAGTTCTTTAAAAATGTGTCACAAATTAGAGAGAACACTTTAAATGCAGGAGACGAGCTAAATATGGCTCTGAACTCATCAGGCAAGAGATTAAGAGTTTGATGCAAGCTGGAAGTTGAAATTGTAAGTAGAGAATTAGGATTCATTACACGTAGCTTGGAGTTTAAACTGTTTTCCATGATATATCTGATGAAATAATACTGTTCCTTTTCAAAGTGAAGGAAAATAAATAACTGGAAGTTATCATTATTTAATTTTAAGAAGACACATGTAGTGATTGCACATTTAGAAGAGATCCAGTTTAAACAGCCTTGCATTCAGTGTCAATGGTAGTTTGCACTGAATTTTTTTCCTTCACTTGGTTCACTGAATCTTGTGTATCCAATTTATCAGCCATAAAACGAATCTTGATTTCTAAAATATAAATGGTGTCATCTTATGAATAACACTAATTTTAACAATCAGGCATAGACAAAAGGCTAACAAGATCTGTCTGTAGAGGCAAACCCTAAGGTGGTTAAGTATTTTGTGGCTAAAATTATGCTGTTGTCCCCCCCCCCCCCCCCCCTTTTTTTTTTTTTTTTTTGGGGGGGGGTTGTTTTTTTTTGTTTTTATTAGTTCTTACCATTTTTAGTGTAATTAATTCTGCAAATTTCACCCTGGTATAGAATAAATGTTATCACAGACTCATATGACTATTAACAGTAGCACAATGATGGGTGTATGAGCAGGGCACTGCCTAAGGGAAGTGTTGAAATGGAGCTGCGGGGTGTCCTACCCCTTCTGCCCCCTGGAACCCTGCACCTTTCCTGCAGTGGCTCTGGCTCTGGCAAAAGGAAGGGCAGAGAAGCAGCAGCAGCATGCATGGCAAGAGTAGCGGCTGGTGGTTTGCTGCTACTAGAGAAGAATCACCTCTTTTTTTGCTGCCAGAAACAAGGGTTTAAGTGGCCACTCAACATATATGTCCGCAGCAAAAAAAGGAGGTGACTCCTCCCCCAGTAGCCGTGAAACTTCAGCTGTCCTGCAACATTGCTGATCAGGGTGCAGTACTAGCCAGTTACACCTTTGACTATTAATGTTTGCTGGATATAAAATTGCAGCTAAGAACTTCAATCAGAGAGCAGCATTCTCTTATAGTAGGTGCTGTATAAATGGAGATAAAAGACAGCCCCTGTCTCATTGAACTTATTACTTAAGTGAAGAAAGGTGAAGTTATACATTACATTTAGACCACACTAAGCCTGTGGAATGATAAGTAGTGTTCAAGTTACAACATTCACATTAAGCGTTAATATAATTTCTTCCCTACATAGCTCTAACTTGCCACAAGAGCTAGGTACAGACATTCAAAAAGATCAAGGCGGAATTGCTCTAAGTTCCACAGTTTTCGGTAAGTGGAGTAGTTTAGATCAGTACCGAACAGAACACACATTTGCCCTTTGGTGGGGGGTACAAATCTTGGACCGGGTTCTGCCATTTTTAAACCAGTCTCTGTGTGTTGAACTTCTGTTTTGAGTACAGACCGGTTTCCAATCACTTATGCCGATAAAATGTAATATCTATACCTCGCCTACAGGGTTAGAAAATAGGGATGTGGTTAGGAGCCAGGACACCCGAGCACTATCCCAGCTCTAGATGGGGATGAGCTGCGAACAGTGTTTCCTGGGATGCTGGAAGATTAAAAATTGATTGTTTTATCTCTGTGGAATGAACTGAAATTACCTTAATATGAGCTAGATAGCATGGCCCAGAATTAACCTTTGCCTGATGTGGCATAACATTGAGATACTCAGAGGGCACTTAGCAAGCATTAACAAGCTTTAATGAGCTTATGTTTTAAGTCCCTTTGATATGGTCTAAGTATAATGTATAACTTCACCCTAAAGTATTAAACAAATCTAACAAAAATAGAACTGGAAAGTTTTCACTTACGTTGAAAATGCATTATTCTGCTTTTCACATCGAATGCCTTTGCAGCTTTGATTTTCCTTTGTTTCATAATAGAAGTACAGCTGGTTCAATCCATTTGCAAAAGCAAGCAGCACAAGGCAGTATATGAACAGAAACTTCAAAATGTCCAGTAACATTCTTCCTAGAGATATTTGTAGAGGTCCCAGGTGAGAATTTGCAGTGAATAATGAGATCAAGCGCAGGGAGCTAAAGATATTTGCAATTGCAAACAATGCCTCAGCCACCAAAGTAGGGTGCCACATATCCCAGTATTCTCGTGGGTGTAACCCACTGTACTGGAAACAAAACAGAAAAGAGAAGGTTATTTTTCTGTTTGCATAATGAAACCAAAATGGTCCAGCCATCCTGCTCAGGCACCAATAGTATGAAAAGCATGGAATGAAGAGACAAACTAGACATACCACAAAGGAAATTACAATCTTAATAGAACAGATAGGAGAGTTTTGTATGTACTCAGAATCTTTGTCTGAAGGATGGTTTAATGCTAGGCCTTTTGTGTTTTGTTTTGATTTTGTTGCAATGAAAGGAACACATCTGACCTTTCTGCTGTTAATGTCTGTGAGAGACAATAGAAAAGTAACTCTTGGCATAGCTATGCAGAAAATTTATGGTAGTCTGACATTCCAGAAATGTTGAAATTTAGGACTACAATGTCAGTGAGACTCTTATGAGTAAGGACTTAATTTATAAAAATGTGATGGATCAAGGCCTGGATAATCACTGCAGAGTTGCAATAAATGACATACATAAAGAATGTGAATGGAATGTAATCAGTGAAAATATCTAATTGTTCTTCCTTTGAGCCAAGCTTACCTCTGACTGATCATTAAAACTGAATCTTTAACATTCCAAGCCTATCACTGGATTCCATGGAGATGAAAGCTGATAGTTTCAAATGAAGCCTTTCTACATATTATTACCTACTTCTTATTTACTGAATATTGTTATTATGTTCTTTCCTTAAATAGGATAACAGAAACTATAATCCTTGTCCGGAGGTGCTTTACAGATTAAATCCAAGGGACAATAAAATATACACACTGAACAGAAAAAAAGGACCAGAATGTAATCTATTTATTCATTTTATGCTATATTGTATCTATCTACATATTTACATTGCCCTCAATGCACAAAAGTACCTCTATATCTTGCAAACATTGATGGTTTTAATCTTCATAATACCTCTGTGAGGCAGGGAAATGTTATCTTCATTATACAGATGGTAACTGAAGCACAAAGTAGAATATGAAGTATTCCTAATACTGCTATTCAGAAAATCCCAGAAGAAAAAAAGTACAGTAGAGTCCCACCTTTATTCTCTCAGTAACCTACATGAACTCTTTTCTCAGTTTATAGGTCGAAAGATGTTTTTGGTCCCACACAATGTTCAGGTTGGAAGTGTCCCCAGTTCAATCTGTTGGAGGCTTACCCTAATTCCCTGTCCATTAGACCATACTTCCTACTTCAATTACCGAATGTTCAGAATTAAGCATCAACTGACATAATGGAACCAATACAAAAATAATCTGCTACCTGAATCACTAACCATCAGTTCAGTTGTGACTGCAGAACTTTAATTACTTATGATGAGAGAAAAAAAGATGGATCATGGCTGAATTTGCAATGCTAGCTAGGTAAAAAAAGACTTTTTTTTTTTCTATAGCAATATATAGAATAAATTATATTCTACTGTAAATTTCCATGATGACTTAAAGACCTATTAATAATAATCATACAATCTACTAAAGGGTTGACTCTATCAGATTGACAGGAAAAGAGACAGGACAAACTGTTTAGGGAAGAGATAGAGAGGTTTGAGGGGAAATAAATAAGATACAAATAATGAATGTAATAACGAGATTTTTTATGACAATATTTGAAGATGGAAATAGAGGAATCTCTTTGTGGAAGGGAACTGGAAGATTTCCAAGTGCCAGGGTTATAAATGAAGTGTTAAGCTGAAGAGGTGCGGAAATGAAGAGAGTGGGAACAAAGGTGAATTGGGAGAAAGTTAGGGTCTTGTCAGACTTTACGCTATATGCCGAATAAATGTTAATCAGCTTAGTGTTATTTGGCTTAGTGAAGCAGTCACAAGAGAAAGTGAAAAACCTGCTCTGGCTGCCCCTCACCTGCACAGCTGTGACTTACCACTAGAGGTTTGGTGAGCAGGGGCAGGACTAGGAGCTGGGGGAAGGACAGACTTGCTGCTCCTGCTTGGCAGAGCAAGTGCTTTAGCCCTGGAGTGCCTGGCAGCCACAGTATGCCCTGCCACCATTTGGACAGCTCTGCTCCTGGCAGCGTGAGCAGCGGTGGGAAGCACCATGGCCACCAGGTGCTCCAGGACTGTGGTGTTCACTTTGCCAGGTGTCTCCAGGAGTCAAGACACTGTGCCCAGCCCTGCTGTACCTAGTATCCTGCGCTCACCCACTGCTTTCTGGGATGCTGGAGGCCTTCAGCTTGGGTGGAAAAGCTGTGGAGAGTGACCACATGTTAATAGAACAGGAGAAAATTAGGCAGATTTCAGATAATACTGCCCTAGAGTGGCACACCATTAAGATGAATAATGAGTGCTTTAAGCCACTTAAAAGGTATTAACATGCAACCAGTCCAGGTGTTAAGAGCTTGTTTTTTTTAAAATAAGGAATATGAAGGAAAGAACTGAAAATGACCTGAACAGATTGAGCCTGGTAGATGGGTAGCCACTGAAAGAGTAGGAAGGTGGTAGGAGAGGAGGGGAAGAAAGATATGCACAATTTTGCAGAGGGAGGATTTGAGAGATGGAGTTTCAGAAGGGCACTGGAGTCAGGCTTCAGAGGATCCTACCCCTAGCTCTGTTGAAAGAAGATTCCTAAGCTCTGATGAGTAAAGCAGAAAAGAAGGAAGTGGTGCCACCCCTCCCCCATTTATTCAATAGCCAGAAATTAGAGCTGGGATGTGCCACAAGACTGTGTGCTACTCTAAAAGTTGGATGTGGAAATTGTTTAGATGTCATATTTGGACCACATGTGAGCAACATAGGTAATCAGTTAGGCTTTGTCCTAATCTGAATCAGTATAAAATGATACCCCACAGCAAACCTGATTCTTAGGGTACTTGTACACATGATGGTCATCACAATGTACACGTGACAAAAATGCAATTTGAGTGGCTTAATGGTGCCATGCATTACACATGCACCAGTTTGGGGGGTTTAAAATGACTTTGCCTCATTGCAAACTAAACTACCTCTGGATGTAGTTCAGTTTGCAAAGTTGCAAAGTATGATGATGCAGCTGTCAGCTCACCTCCCAGCTCCGAGAGATGTGGGCAGGCTCCTCAGAAAAAAAGGATTAGGACCCTTGCTTCTTCTGCCTTCAGCAGGTGCCTGGCACACCCATCTGAGGAGCAGCGCTTGGCAAGTTTCCAGCCGGCAGGCTCAGGGAACAGTTGGATCAGGCCAGGTGCTGCCTCCAAGCTGGGCCAGCACCCGGCCCATGAGTAGCCCTCCTGTGTGGCCCTGGGGTACCACTGCCATGGAGGGAAGCACTAGGGGCAGAGGTGGGGGCACAGCTCAGGGCCTGCTGAGCCCTCTGGCAGCTTGTCCCTTAGCCACAGGCAGGCTCTGGTTCCATGAAAAAAAAGCAAAGGATCAGGCCCCTCGCCATAACATTATGGAAAAGTGGAAATGGTGGGTTTCAATTACAACCCATTGTTTCAATTTAGGGGGCATCAAATAAAACCTTGGGGATTAAACCCCCATCACATGTACACACGCTCTTAAAGTCTATTTAATGCTAAAACCTTCCTTTGCCTGAGAGGAAGTGACCCCACATCTCCCACCCCGCAAGGGAGTGACCTCATTCCAGGTTTATAAGGTTTTGGTAGTAAAGGAGGGAAATTGATCTCTCATTCTCTCCTGTTAAATCTGTTCCACAGTACGTGGAATAATTACATATTTATTGGATGAAAGAAAGAAAGAGAGAACAGCTGATGGTCTAGCTTAAGGCACTCAGGTGGAAGGAAAACAGAAAAAGCCAAAAAGTACACTTATTGCAGACATTCAACTATGCAAATCAAAATTGCCAACTTGTACTAGTTTCTGTAAATTGCTCATATAACCAGTTTTCTCAGATCCTTGAATATTTAATATATGCAATTATTAGTAGTATTATAAGCACAGTTTGTTGACAAGATTCATGCTTAATGGTACTCACTATAAAATTTACATCACACCAAGATCTGTAAGAAGCAACTATAGGACAGTGAGATTTGTCATTTAAGAGACTATCCAGTGTTCTATACAGTGCTGCATATTGTTTGTGGCAATGGCCGCTTGATGATTCAAAGGCAGGAAAGCACAGACATGTACCTTGCCTCCTCAGTAGTTTATGGCATTCATTCTGCTGTTCAGTGTTGCAAAGGTCTGACTTCAATTGAGCTTTGAAGCAGGCTCTGTGTGGGTCATTATGTTATATCAATCAGCTTATGGCAAACCACAGTATTTGGGTTTTTATGTTGCTTGTGTATAGCCAAAATGTGAAATATCTTAACAGCTTCCACATACCACTTTAAACTCATATACAACCTTTGCATGCAGCAAAGGTAGTCATCCATTTAATAACTGTTTAATATTACATATCATCTACTAGCTAGCTATGGAAAAATTTATAAGCCACATTAATTGAAAGTGGAAGAAAGCAAGGCATGGGTAGAGTAAGCATTAGGACTGAAAAGCAAATGTATCATGAATATAAATGACACCAAAGGAATATGAAATAACAGCTCTTAATGATGATTATTCATAGAAATTCAAACAAAGATTAACATCTCAGCCAGCTGTAGGCACTGGGAAAGTGGCCAGGTACTTTTCCCTGCTCCTCTAAAAGAAAATCTACAACTTGCAAGGCGCACAGAGAGGTGTAATATGGTCTACATGTGAATCAGAAGACCTGGTTCTAGTCACACTTCTGCCACTGACCATCTGTCTGACCATGGTCAAATCCTATACAATTCTTGGTAGCACATTTTTCTTATCTAGAATGAAAGGTTAAAAAAAATTAGCCACCTTGCTTTGAACCTTTTGGCTGAAAGGTGCTACATATAAGTTCTTGCTATTTTATAATGTTTGCCACAATCTTTACAGTTAAGGCTATATTTTAGAAAATGAGGGGAAAATGACTAGGGAAAATCAGGCCAACTGCAACATTTGTGAAGAAAAGAGAGTATGCTTTTCTTTACTATGGAATTACTATCTAGGTGACTGCCTGGTCTTAAGGAACTGACCAAACATTAATCACAATCATTTTACAATGGCAAAGAGATAATCAGAAGGTCCCAGTTTTTGAAGCACTAGTAACTCGGACCCCCCCCACATCATTTTACTGTTAAGCAAGAACAAACAATATGAAGCTGCCTGAGACAATAAGTATATAGTCCTACAATGTCACTATACCGTCACTTTTCAGAGCAGGATTCCACTCCAGCTATAAACTTCTGCCCCAGAAGTAGAAGATTTAGACAGCATTTCATGTCAGTGGACAAGTACCACTTGTTCAATAAAATCACCCATGTACAATCTCTTATAGGTGAAAATACACAGCAGTAGAAAGCACACTTCAGTTTCATAAAGCATCCTTGACTATAATAAAACTAATGGGGTTTGCATCTGATACAGAAAGTGGAATTTGATATAACAGTACGAAACATACCATTTGGTCATAATACAATTGTTACCATTTGTCTTAAAGTACAGATAGATCTAATTATGTTTATAATTCTCAATCAAAACAGGTCTCTTAAAATCGATCATGCCTTTATGAACATAAAATGTATGGCATTTATAACCATGTATAATTTAACAATGCAGACAGAGAGAATATATAATGGAATATGTACTGAATAACTAAAACATCTTTTTGATTTCTTTTTCATTTTTAATAAGTATAACATAATTTTTATCTTTATCCTTATCAACAGGCATAGAAGAGCCCTTCCTCTGGTTGGTATTTAGAGGCTATTTGGTTCAGAACTATGAGCTTTTGTAGGCAACAACTTACTTTATCAGATGCTATGAATGGACTGGAAGAGCCGATAAAGATATAAAACATCTATCCCATCTTGAAACTGGGGTAGGAAATGAGCAAAGATGGTTCTAAGTCACCTTTACATTTCTATGACTCTGGAACCAGCCCTGGGTATAACTTAGCTCACCTTATGGGTTGCTATAAGGAATAGTCATCCGCTTGTTGCTTTAAAGCACGAGTAATATTATTTTTTCTTGGGAATATCTGCTAGTGGCATAGACGTACTATTCTTTTTACACAAAGGAGTTTATTTAGGAGGGCTGTCTGACTGTTCTGTGTTGGAATGATTCTCAGCAGCTGGAGCATATATGAGAATTGGGCATATATATTTATTGCAACAAATACAAGCAAAACTATATTTCAGGAAAAGCAGGCACGCAAGGTTTGGCAAATAAAAGTAATGGGCATTTATCAGAATAGAAGCAATGGTAGTATTTGGAACCCCTTTCAACCTCATTTATTGTACAGCTGGGAAACTATATTTTGAGAATTTGAAATGAATGCAGGCAGTTAATAAGTTAACCTTTCATTATTTCAGTTCATTGCATCATTTGCATTGTTTGTGGTCTCTGTTTCAGTGAAAATGGAGGTGAAGAAAGAAAGAACAAAGGATAGTTAGATTTAAAATAAACAGCAAGGAGAGCTGCAAAACTACAGGCTATGTTTTGTGGATTGTGTTTACATTTTGATTATGACTGGCATCATAATGTTAATTTGGAAGGTAATGGATGCATATTATTCCAGACACTGTCACCTTGATTACCAACAACACAAGCTGGTTGAGAGATGAAAGGATTATTATGGTTTCAAATTAATTCTAAAGTGAATAATTGGACATCTACAATGCTTAAGAAGGGTTTTGCATTATCAATGTGCTTATCATTCTGCAACTTGGAACAGTGAAATAGCTATTGTGAAGTGGTATTTTTAAATGAGAGAACAGTTTACTAGCTTAGAATATCAGTGCCTCCCAAGACCACTTTTGAGCGGTGCACAGGGTCTGGGTTTTAGCCATAGCTCAGAGGCGCCCTGGAGGGTTTAAGTTAGCATGGCCAGCCACTTCCACCCTGCTGGGTGTAGGGGTATGTCATAAATGGGAGGTGATGAATCAGAATTGTGTAAGGTCTCTGTTCTACTCTATCAATTATCAACTGGCATATGGACCCTTCTGGACATATGGTCAAATGGCATAAATTTGAGAAGCTCTTAAACTGATTTAAACATTTACCAAAGCTGCAGCCAGCACAGCTGTGGCTTGAGACTAGGAAGCTATATTCATCTCCTTCATACCTGTTCTCCTTTTACTGAGCCAATGCATTTTGGCACAGGTGAATATATTCCCCAGTACATATTGGATGGCTGGTGGCAAAGCAGTTGAAGTACATCATTAACTAAATGATGATGATGGCAAACAAATAAGCAAGTTATTTTGGCCATGGCATCGTGACAACTATGTGACAGATCATGACAAATTTGTCATGGAATAATATGTGATAGTATTCTATCAACCACGACCATTCTGAAATCTGAATATATCATTTTATGATGAATATTCATGATGTTATTGATTTACAGGGGAAACAGGGAAAATGCATTGTGCTTCACAGTTTTGAAGAGAACGAACATGTCTAAGGTTTATATTTTAAATATTGAAAATGTCAGTTTTATTAAAAACACAAAAAAGATCTAGATGAACAAAATGGACATATTTTAACTAACTATATTCCTGTTGAGCAAACCCTCCCCACACCCCCCTACCAAAATATTTCAGTTAATTGTTTGAACTGGGCTAATTTTGAATATCAAAACCAAAATGTGAGAATCTTCCGGGGGGGGGGGGGAGCCTTATTTTTCTAATTTGGAACTAATTTTTTTATGCAACCTATTTCAAAACATTATACATTTTTCTGAACAACCATGAAAATAAAGCCTCATTTCAAGAAATTATGGATAGATTCTCTGACACAAACATTCTTGGACAAATGCCCACACTGAATAATAGTAAGGCTTTGCATTTTATAACACTTCTCACCTAACAATCTTCAAATGCCATGTACAGATGCTAATGAATTTAGCTTCCTAACATCCCTGTGATATATATAAGAAGCATTAACTGATTCTCAGTTGGGAAAAACTAAAAGCACATTAGTAAGATTATTGCATATAATTGTCCTACCAGGAACAAAAAAACCCAGCTCCCTTGATTCCTATTATTGTGGCTTAATGTCTCACCATAGATGCAAAAGATTAATTGAGAACACTGGACAGCTACGTTACCATGACCCTGAAGAAAGAATCAAGTACAAAAATAAAGCAAAAAAATGAGCTTAGATACTAAAATATTTGCTCATCAAGTTTAGCTGAACAATAAATGAATAATTACCTTTGAATAGGCAACAAGTTTCAAAGAAATTGTTGCCAAGTATAAGGAGTTCATCACGAAATCCATTAGGTTCCACCAGTCATGAATGTAATCCTGAAGTCCACCATCCCACATCTGCTTAATTTCACCCCAGATAAAACCTGTAAATATAAAAGTATTCCTTCTAAGCATGTTTTTCAAAGCATGTCAGTCTTAGATTTCTCATTCTTGTTTTCAAATTTATTTTCATTCAAAAGTATACAGCTGAATTTTCTTCTGCTTACTTTTTCTTTTCATTTTAATGGGGAAAAATAAACAAAAGAAAAATGAACCAAACTGCTATCTGATAATAGCAACTCTTCCCAAATTTTGTCCTTGACTATGTTGTAATGGAACTTAATGGAAACTACATGATTGTAGAAAGTGGCCTCAATTTCAATTGAAATTTTCACCATTGCAAGGAATAGAAATCTTGACTTTTTATTCATAATAAGCAAGTAACAAGTCCCTATTTCCCAACAGTGTCTTTAGCAAAATATTTCTAGTAGAAACATTAAAAAATATTGTTCATTTACTTTGAACTTGGCTAATGGGAAACTGTTCTTAGGCAGACAGTGCACATATCACTTTAGACAGGGCAATATAGAACTATTTCATGCCACTGGGAACGTTTGCATCTCATCTGATGTGAGCTCAACTTAATAGCACCAGTGAGAGTCATGTGAAAAATAAAGCATCCCTCAGAAGAATGCAATGAATTAATGCTCACATAATATGAGGCTGTTAAATGACAACATGCCATTTTAGTGTAAGCTTTACATAAATATCTACAGGGTTTTTTATATTAGTATACGGTAAGGATTTCATATTTTTCAGTTTTACTTTTCATTTGTCTAAGTGAATTCAAGTAACATTACAGATGCCACATTAAAAGCAGGACTGGAAATAGGCATGGGCAAACTGGGCAGCTGACCAGGGTCCGGACAGAAAAGGAGCCCCAATATGGTGAAAATAATAATTATTATCATTATTATCATTATCTGGTGAAGCGGGGCCCAATACTAAAAGTTCATCCAGGGCTGCCAGGAGTCTAGGTACGGTGCTGATTAAAAGTAAAAGAGATTGAAACTCTGTATATTTTGGGAAACAATCCCACATTTTTTTTCAATATCTGATTTGGCAACTGTTCCTAAGTAGTTTCCTTAAGTGACTTAAAGCAAAAGCCTAATGAGTTTTATATCAATGAAGTCTAGGATTAGAACTTGCCTTTCAGTCCTAACATTGTCACCTGATGGCCTTCCCTCAGGCCTGCCTTCCAAGAAGTACTCTTTTCTTTACTTTCATTTCTGGCAAAAAGGACCACACACAAGAAACATGGAGACAACTGTGTAGGTGGAAATTCCCCCTTTAAGGAAGCCGTACCAAGAGCTGCACCTGTATCATCACATCTAAGAATAGCCTTCCTTGATTCTTCAAAATTAAGTAATGGCTAAGGAAATTATTCAAAAACAGTGCTGAATGGCACTGGGATGATTAGCAGGACAAAAGCTTAGGGGAGCAAAGTACTTCTACTGATATCTTTTAAATTGGGAGCTATTCTTCTGTAAAATAATTCTTAGTAGCATAGCCTGAAAGCTCTAACTAAAAAACTAACAGAGTATATTCAGATTGAAAAAGAAATGGTGGTAACTGTTTTTGTTTGTGATCAGTTTCATGAACATAAAGCAGATATATTATACAAATTGGTTCAAAGCATTTCCTTGGTTTCAGAAAATGAAAATTGTCAAGGTTGTTTTTAACTGTGAAACGCAGACCTATTATAGCATTCTTACAGCTATAATAACACGCTTTTAAAAAGTGCCTATAAATAGCAAATTTGACTGTTTCATTGACCAACACAAACTGATCCAAACAACCAATACTGTCAACTTCATTCAGCAGTTGCTAAACTATGGAGAATACATTTTATTCCAGAAACATCATATGCTGATGGTTCCAAACAATTTTTTCTAGGATTTCTGGTTCATGGAAGATTTCAGTAATGGTGACCTTAATCTGAGCAAAACCATTTATCAGAAATTGAAAATCCTTAGAAACAAGAAACCCTACATTTTTACTTGCTTTACCCAAGATGTCTTCTTCTGGCTAGGATTTATTGGTGATATTTCTTATTGGATCATCTGTATATTTAGATAAGCTTTCAAGCACAAAGTGCCCATCCTTCTTAAGACTGGCTCGTCTTTTGGCCTGTTTTAAATGCTACCATCCAGGTTAAGGCACCTGAATGCAAATTCTGCAAATAAATACAGGAAAAGAAAGCAAATGACTAAAGTTACAGGGGTATCCTAATCACCCATTGTCCAAGATAGGCACATATTTGATTCTATTTCATTAAAAAAAGATTTCTGCTGATTAGTGGTTGTATCTACATGAGATGCTACTGAGCAGTTGTTACTGTGCATTTTTTAGTATTTATATTAGCACTTATATTTAGTAATTTTACATTACTTAGTACAAAATAAATGAGCAGCAACCAGAGTTACTGTGCAGTAGAACTGGCAAGTTTCTTTTTAGGTGACACTACTATGCAGTAGCTTAATAATACTGCCCAATAGCATATTAGCACTGTCTGCGGTGTGACATGCTACTGTGCAGTATTTTTCAGCGGCTGCATTGTCCGTGCCCCATGTAGACGTGCCCAGTGAAGAACTTCCTTCCTTCCTTCTTTCCTTCATGTAATTTGATAAATGCGTTCCATTACAAAACAATTAAGCATGTCATATGACTCTGTTATTCATTAATAATAGATTTGGTTAGAATTTTTAAAGCCAGTTCATCAAACCCAAAATGTTTTGTCTGAAATGTCTAGGATTTGAATATATTTCAGAAAATCTAGATTCACAGCTGACTATGGACTCTGGTGTTCTCATTGTCTGCTCTACCATGCACTCTTACCAGCCAACTGCAAGCATGTAGGCCCAAGCTCCAAGATAACCACCTCCCCCCTGCAGTGGATTTCCTTGGCTCCATGCCTCCTGGTGCTTTGAGGATCCATTGTCTGGAGTCTGAATGTTTTGGGTGTCTAAGCTCTTACTGGAGCTTGACACTAGGGTTATGAGAAACAGCACCATTTCATTTTGGCTTCCATTTCAACATTTTGATGGGACAGTGTTTCATTTTGAGTTTGTTTCATTTCGAAAGCACTGTTCCATTTCGTTTTGTTGAAACTTTTTTGCTGTATCAACGTTTTGCCCATAGGCTATAATGGGGAAGCATGAAACTGCCTATAACTTTGCCACTTCTTGCCTGATTTGGATTAAACCTGAAGGGATGGTAGCCCCTTCTGAGGCTTTGAAGTCTGCCATGTTTCAAGTAGATAGGTCTAGGGGTTTCTGGGAAACTGCACCTCAAGCTGCTGACAAGCAAAACTCATGTCACGTGTATGTGTGAAGGCACAGGGGGGTAAAACTGCAGGCATGCTAGCCCATGATGAGGCCACAAAGGCTGCCAAGTTTTAAGGAGAGAGGTGCAGGGATTTCTGGGCAACTGTACCTCAGGCTGCTGACAAGCAAAACTCATGACATGGGTGACACTGTGTATGTGTTAAGGCACAGGAGGGTGAAAACTGCAGGGATGGTAGCTCCTGCTGAGGCCATAGAGCCTGTCAGGTTTCAAGGAGATAGGTGCTGGGGTTTCTGGGAAACTACACCTCAGGCTGCTGACAAGCTAAACTTGTAACATGGGTGACAGAAAGCAGGGCAGCTCAAACAATGCTGCCTTTTATGCAGTTTTCCCATCCCTCCCCCAAAGCACTGGGATTGGAAGAGCCCTCAGGGAAGCATGACAGCCACTGGCCAGCTACACACAGAACTGGAAATCCTATATTTAGGCCAGTTTTATTTTATAACAAATAATGGCCTACATGTAAGGGGTATCCCATTTTGGCTATTTTCTTTGTTATATAAATCCAGGCACACCGTATTAAGCATGCACCCTCAAAGTTAACAGGAGTAGCTGAAAGTCATTAAATATATATATATATGCAGAGTTAAAAAAAATCTCAACCACCACACCATATGGAAGAGTCAAAAAGTATTATCAGAATGTCACACTACAGCTCCCAGACTCTAGTGGGATCCCTAGTTTGGAGACCTTCAGGCAGCAGCACAAAACCCTACCCTAATACCAAAGAAAGCTCTTGAATCTTTCCAAAGTACTATACAGCAGGTATCTAGAACAGCAGCAGTACTATGGTAAGAATGTTAAACAGTTATGCTACTGCATGTAGGAAAACAATTTAATTTTCAAAAATAAAGTGACTGGTACTCTGCCAAGGTAAAAAATAAACCTTGCACACCAATGGAACATGTCAAAGCCAGACCCGGGAGTCAGTCCTACAGGAAGAATAGCAGTCATCTGAACAAAACAAAACAAGACATTGTTCTGTTTGGGGGAAAATTGTTGTGTGGAGCCAGCCAGATTCCAGGCAGTTGAAGCAGCTGCAGAATCACCCAAACCAAGGACGTTTGGATATTTAGAAATTTTTCTACTGCTTGGATTGGGCTCTCTGCTTTGTGCTGATTGGCTGATTGCTCTAAATGTCTCTCTCACAGTCACTTCGCCTCAGCTTTATTCCACACCTGGTCCGCTTACTATCATACATGTTGGCTTGTGTCCCTACAACCTTTATCCTCTGCTTTTCTTTCTCGTTCTGTCTTCTTTTCATAAAAAATATAATCTGCTCCCCCCCGAAAAACAAAACAAAACACACAATCAAGGAACTATTCAAAGAACTAACATGACATTCATCTCCATCAAATTATTCTCTCTGCCTGTGAGCTATACTATAGACTTTTCACAGAAACTGCACCTGGTTATCGATTTAGTTTATAAATATTGTGGGTAGAACTGTACTCTTCCTTTGTTCAGTGTCTGACACAACAGGCCCTCAGTCCTGTGGTGGAACCAGTCATTCAAAAGGATACTATTTTGAAAACAAGAAGTGATAATGGGGTCAGTTAGTAAATCATTGTGATTTACAGATGGCAATTCTTGGAAGATGTCCATTAATCTGAACTCTATTTTGTGTTTTATAATTGGTCAGGGCTATTTTTGGATGATGATATCTATATTATTTGCATTTGCTGTAATTAGTTAATTT